ATCAATGTGTGCCTCTTGTTTTTTCTGATCTAAAATGTCATGACTGAACTTGTTTCTATTTTCCGTCTGTTACATTAAGCTATCAACCTGGCAACTATGCTGTAATAATGTAGCACTTCAACTGACAAAAGTGAGACTGCACCAATATAAAGTAAACCAGTATAATTTCAAACCTAAAATATGCACATGAAAATTTAGGTAAATGGAAGGTGGAATGCTCCACTGCAAGTCCAGCAAAGGGGACTACTAAACACTTACATTTATTTTACAATTCCTTATTAAGGTAAGAACTGGTGGTGTAGACATTAGCCATTATTTGCAGCACTACAGCTGAGTGTGGGTATGGAAACAGTAGTCCTTGAGTTTCACAGATTCTCAGGTTACTAAAAACGTACTAATTTGCTCAGAGGGTCTGACGCTTTGCTTTATCTGAATATTTGAGTAAATCAGCAAAGACACTGGCTGGACTGCAAACTGACATGTTTGCTGCTGGCATAAGATAATGCTCAGAGAAAGTTTTGTTGGTGGTAACAACTAAATTATGCAACAATGTAGCAAAGACAGGCAAGAACACTGTCAGCTAGTTTACATGTATGTAAATAATGTTGGATTTAAAATACTGTTTTGTTTGGAAGGAAATTCAATCAACATGTTTGTTACACCTCAAGGAGACACAGGGTGTTTTTTCATATTGATGGCAGGACACAGATACATGTAGCCTATTACCAATTGGAACACACAAACAAAAGCACAAAGCAAAAACAGTGCTATCTGACCCTAAAGCAGTGGTCCTCAAAGTGGGGGGCGTGCCCCAGAGTCCTGCATCGGGTCGGGTATCCGCGGGTACCCGACGGGTGACCCGCAAAAAAGGTGATTTGCGGGTGGTATTTTTTCAAACGCTTTTTTCCGGGTTTGGTTCTGGGTAAAACATAGATGATGCGGGTCGGGTTGCGGGTGTTGCATAATAAATATATTTAAATAATAATAATTTAGTTTAATGTTTAAATCCTCAGACCTCTCCCCCGCGGGACCGAGCATAATCATAACCTCTGCAGCGCATCTATCTGCTGCTGAACGCGCCACATTCTGAATGGCTGAGGTGAAGCTCTCTAGCGGAGAATACAGCATTTTCAATAACTCTTCCTCAAGAGCGAAATCCAACGTCTGGGAGGCTTTTGGTGTCATCCTAGATGGAGAAAATAACCAACATCCCACGCTTTTTGAGCCAAATATGCAACTGCGTGTGTTAATAATTACACGTTTTCACTGCTCATATATATGCGGGTTCGGGTCGGGTTGCGGATTTTGTGCCGGCGGGTCGGGTCGGGTTGCGGAACTAATTGGCAATATGTGCGGGTAGCGGGGCGTTCGTATTGCCACGTCGCGTGTGGGCGGAGCGGCCGTCTGAAAATCAGACCCGGTTGCAGGACTCGAGGGCGCATAGCGCATGCAGGTGGACTTCCTCGACAGACCAGGAACGAAAAGTTGTTATACAAACAAAATAGATTATAATGAGAATAACATGTATACAGCTACTATTTGTCTCTCTCTCATGCAGGTTCATTCAACAGTTCGCCTCGTGCATCTGTACTGACCGAGCCTGGTTGTGCTGCGCGAGCGAGAGACGAGTGAGCCATCGGTAGCTGAGATCGCTGCTTACTTCTGGGCTAGCGATGCTACGCTGGTATAAGAGTTTTCAACGATCAAAGTGTCGTCAGATGTTCCTGCTCCTAGACACTAAGCTGCAGTCTATAGATCTCACTCGTGTTTATCTCACTGGGTCTCAGACGCGTGGTCACCATAATGTAACAATATCGCGGCCACACGTTATATGCATCACATGTTACAAACACTAAACTAACTGCACGGTGTGAAAAACTATACGACAAAAAAATAAAGTTAATCGGATTGCTCATAATGCATAAGATCGTAGACTCTGTCACCAGTTCTGTTCGTCTGTTTTCATATGCGCTGAGATGTAGCCACTAGATCTCTGCATTGCTTATCGCTCCAGGATGTTGTGTTTAATGCTCAAACATCTTAAGAAACAAATGCTTCAGGAGTAGCTTGCGAGACGTATGTGACGGTCCAACATGCATGTAGCATTCTGGATGATAATTTGCATCTCACTCCTGCTGTACAGTATTCCGTATCTGCGCAGCTGATTAGCGAAGCCGTCATTGTATAATAAAATAGGCGAGGAAACACAGTGGTTGCTGCACGGTTCCAGCTTGCTGTCTCTGCAGCTTACATATGATTTTCTGACTTATTCCATCGAGGGTCTCACGTTTCTTTTCCCCAGAGAGGTGGCTGGACCATTCGTTTCATCATTCAATACCCTGATCCACGTTCTGCCTCGACTCTCGCAGGTCCGCTGGTTTAGGGCTGAGACGACAGATGTCAGGAATACCTGAGGGAATACTTACCCAGCTAGAAATGTTTGGTTTTTAAACATTTCTGAGAATGTTACTGTCACTGTTCTAGGAATGTTTTCAGCGGGAGATTTTTTTTTGGTTTCCAGAATGTTCTTCTTAACGGATAGGATAACGTTCTCTAAAAACATTCTTACAAATGTTTTGGGTGATACGGTTTCTTAAGATGTTTTTGAGACATTGTTAAGAAACATTATGCCCTACTGGTTCTTAAAACGTTTTCAGCTGGGGACCTTTTATGTTTGTTCCTAGAATGTCTTCTGAAAGCGTAGGATAACTTTATATGTTCTGGAGGGGAAGCCGAATCAGCCGGAATCAGCTGGTGAGAAGCTAACATTTGTTTATTAGAAAGGGTGAGCTGGAGTTGGAGGTTGGTATATGGCGGCAGTGGGAAACAGTTGTCCCGGGTGGGACATTAAGAGAGGCTGGCTGGTCTTAGTTGAGGTGTGGAAGGCGCTTGGATCTCCTGGGAGAACATGTGTGAAAATTAGGGTGTGAGGCAAAAGCAGGCCAACAGTTGTCAAAGAATATGCTGGCAAAAAGCTGAGCGCACGCAAACGGGAATGTGTGGTTTTTAGACGGATTAAAAATAGGAAGTGTTTCGGCGGGTGCATTGATTTAGGAAGTTTGTTCCAAATTGTTAGCGTCATGAATAACTAAGCTGCTTTTCCGATGTTTAGTGGTTTACTTCGTAACTAGAGAGCAGGACGCCAGAAGGTTTCTGATTGATTTTTTAGTGACGCCCCTGTGAATACACATTGCAGTAGTCGGATCTACTGAAATAAAAGGCATGACAAGTTTTTCTAAATCCGTTGTCGCGACATTAGTTTTTAATCCTTGATATATTCTTCAGCGTGGTAGTCTGCAGACCTAATACTGTTGTAATGTGACTGTTAAACTCAGGTCCTGAGGTCACCACTCCACCAGTTTCTTGCTTTGTGAGCTGACTTCTGTGTCTTGCGCGACTGAAGCCTTGCGATTAATTTTTAGTTCGCGTCCTCTTTGTCCAAACAATGATCTCAGTTTTTGTGTTGTTTAATTCGGAGGAAAGGTTCTGAGTCATCCAGTCCAATGATGTGCCTCAATGCACTTGTCGAGGTGTCTAATTCGAGAATAGTCTCCGGGGTAGAGCAGACCGAGCAGTGGGCGGGAGGGAGAGAGACACACAGTAGTAGAAAAACAAAACTCAAACGACGAACAGGGAACAGCAGTGACAGTCCGGTCCGCTCTTCTTCTGTCCTGTCTCAAAATCTAATGGGTTGGTAATAACAATTTGGTATTCCAATATGCATGAAACAGCGGACGACTGTTTATACTTAGCCTCACAAACACACACGCAGTTGTCGTTAATCAAGGCGTTAGAACCTCATTACATGACAAGCCTTTAAAGTCAGAAAAAAAGTGTGATTATTTTCTGATTTTATCACATATGATTATTATGAAGCTGTGGGCCTACATCCTTAGTGTGATATAGAAGTGCATGTGAGTGAATATTGGCATGCAGTTCTGTTGTTTATATGTCCATTTCATTGTCTCAATACCCCATACATCTTTTTTAAAAAAGTGAAAGTTATCACCAAAATGTTAAGGAATTGTTTTTAGGAACGTTTCCTCACTTTCAGAGAACATTCTGGGAACAAAATAAAACCTCCATGGAAACGGTTCTTAAGGAACAGTAGGACACTAATGTTGCTACAACGTTATCAAGACCTCTTAAGAAGTTATCACGCACATTTTTAAGAACTGTTTTTTAAGAACGTTATCTACCTTTCAGAAGAATATTCTGTGGAACAAAATTAAGAACGTCCGCCTGAAAGCATTCCTAGAAGGAAATGGAATGTAACAATTAATTTCTTAGCTGGGACTCACACATGTACCTGCACATGCAATATCTCTGCTTACAGCTTANGTATTAACATAGCAGTCTAGCAACAATCTTACGGCCCGTCCACACGGCGGCGTGCGTTGAAGCTTCAACGCTTCATCCCATTCACTTTGAATGGGGTGACGTCACGCTTTGCCGAACTGCATTGTGGTTCCGTCGCTTCGCTTTGCTCGCTTCAAAGTCACCCCATTCAAAGTGAATGGGATGAAGCGTTGAAGCTTCAACGCACGCCGCCGTGTGGACGGGCCGTAAGATTGTTGCTAGACTGCTATGTTAATACATGTGCTTTTCTCGCTTTATGTGCAGAAAGCCAGAAAAAAAGCGCAGTGAAAATGTTGTTTTTTAATTGCTAAATGCTTAAAACTGTATTGAGGAAAAATGTTTGGTTAGAAGCAGAATATTTGGTTGGATAGAAACATTTTTGAAAAGATAGCATCTTTATATTTCAATGAATGTTTGACTAAGACGCTCTGGAGTTGGATAACACTAGTTTCAGACAAAGTCTTTGCTGCCAACACTCGAATCTAGTTCTGAAAAACTAATAGTTTTATTTCCACACATCTTGTTTAACAATGACATGTTTATTTAAATACCACACATTGTTCATTGTGTTTTAACAGAAATGTTAAATGTAGAGTTTGAGAATTTAAAGTAAGGTTGGGATTTATGCTTCTGTCTTACAGGCGCTGTGACCACATTGCAGGCTGCTTTTCCTCGACACAACATGCATTCATGTGTGAGTTTGTCCTAAAGGAGTACAGGTAATAACGGCTTAATACATTAATTGTTACCATGTTATTACCTCAGCAATGCAGCTACATCTTCAGTGTGGTTCTAATAATCTGTAATAAATATGTTTATTAAGTTGAGTGACCTGATGTTTTGGCACTTGTTTAGACATCATTTAGATTTACTACCCCTTTAAATGTCCTTCAACAAATATGACTTTACACTAGTGGTGGTTTCTTGCCATGTATATAGTTGTAGTGTTTTTTAGATGTATGTACGTTTCTACTGCTCAGAGCATTGAAACATTTAAGGATTTCTTAAATACAAACATAAAATATAATCCCTGTGCAAAGCTGTTCAGTAGAGTTTACAAAAAAGATAGGCAGTTATTTCTGAAAGGAGATGTTTCTAGTAAATGTCCTTAATGCTGTGATAGCCATAAGCTTAATTCCAGCCTCCCTCATCTTATTGGGATAGATATCTTAACGGCCCGTCTACACAGCGTGCGTGCGTTGAAAGCTTCACCATTCACTTTGAATAGGGTGACGTCACTTTTCGCCGAACTGCGTTGTGGGAAGCGAAGCGGAGCTTTGCTGGCGTGGCTCGCTGCAAAAGTTGAGAAATGTTCAACTTTTGAAGCCTCGGCAGAAGCGTCAGCCAATCGAATCATATTTTTCTAGGTACCGTTAATTATTGCGTGTCATTGAGGCCAGATACTAATGGTGTCCCATTGTCGGGGGGACCATAGCAAATGAAGCAAGCTTTAATGCACATTACTCTGGACCAGTCCTGAGAAGCCACGGTCAAAAAGATACGTTGTGCTGAATGGTAGGATATGTTCAATAGTGAGGGAGGGACACTCATCACAATTAGGGGTGCACCGAATGGGTAATTCTTGGCCGAAACCGATACCGAAAATAGGAAACAGTTGGCCGAAAACCGAATGCCGAAAATGATTAATAGAAATAAATATATATATAATGTATACATTGTTTTACCAATGTTGTTCAGCTACCTGATTATGGAAAAAGACCTGATTATGGCAACCTATAAGTGCATGCATACAAATGTGCAAACTGGATAAATCCACATGAATGTAACTATTTTCAAATGAAATTACAATTCAATTTCAAGAATCTGTAAATAAGGCTGTCTGTCCTCATAAGCAAAGTAGTAAACATTGTATAAAGATACATAAAGTGAAAACTGGATACAAAATCCACAATCAATTACAAATTAAATTACAATTTCAAGAATCTGCAAATAAGGTGGTCTGTCCTCATGAGCAATGTAAACAACATTGTATCATTTAGATNAACACACACACACACACACACACACACACACACACACACACACACACACACACACACACACACACACACATGAGACACAGCATGTACATACACACGTGTTTAAAATATAAAGAAGGTGTTCCAGCACAGCTGTAGATACTCCTTCTTCTCTCTCTGGTCTCATCGCTTCAACCTGTGTTTGTTTTCTCTTCCTCTCTTCACATCCTTCCTCTTCTTCATCTGAATTGTCATTGTTTCTCTCTGCAGTAACAAACACGCCCTTCTGCCTCTAACTCCTGTATCAATAAGGGCTGCACGATATAGATGTTATGCCAGAAAAATGTTGAACATCGCCAAAATGATATTACTTGCAATATATTAATACAGAGACTTTAGTGTGCTCACTTCTGGCTTTCTCCTCCATGAACAACTGCATTTTGAATTAAAAACAAAAGGGGGGATTGCAGAACAAAAAAGGCATGGAAAATAAATAATAGTGTTGTTCTTATACTCTCTTAAAACTAACAAAACCAAAAAAAACAATATATTGTGCAGTCCTAGCATCAATGTTCTCGTACTAAGTCTAAATGCAGGGACTCCATCCACGCCTTGATTTGACTTAAAGAGTTGAAATAAATCCAATGCTAGGGAAACAATGTGTGTGTGTGTGTGTGTGTGTGTGTGTGTGTGTGTGTGTGTGTGTGTGTGTGTGTGTGTGTGTGTGTGTGTGTGTGTGTGTGTGTGTGTTGTTGTCAGTGTGGTTGTTACCTAAGTCCAGTCCCACGGTGCTGTTCAGCCGGCTGGGGGGGGCGCTCCTGCCCGGCATGCTGTGTGTGCTCCTGGAGACGGGGATCTGCAGCGTGAGGTCGCAAGCCGACGCCGGCTTCTGCCTCACCAGGGCGTTGGTGGGGTACAGGAACTGGGCGTAGGACACCGACTGAGAAAGATGGAGAAATAGAATAATTAACTACATCTTAAAGGTCACCTATTATGCAAAATCCACTTTTTCATGTCTTCTATAAATAAACACGTGTCCCCTCTGTGGAAAGAGATTCTGAAAGCTTCAAGAACAAAGACCCCCTCTCTTTTTGTCCTGATCCATTTTATTCGTCTGAAAATTAGCTGATCAGATTTTGGCCACTTTATGATGTCATAACGATTTTTTGACTTGTGTAACCATTACGGCCCGTCCACACAGCGGCGTGCGTTGAAAGCTTCACCATTCACTTGAATGGGGTGACGTCACTTTTTCGCTGAACTGCATTGTGGGAAGCGAAGTGGAGCTTTGCNTAGTTGCAAGGCACCACTAGTTATAAATAGCATTAAGATCAAATACGCACACTTCCATATGATCATATAGTATAACAAACATATAAGAGATAAATTGAAACAGGTAGAAATAGCCTACTATACATTATATCAGTAAACAAGAATACGAGAGTCAGAAGAGTAGAGAGATGACTATTGGTAGAATCACGAACAGACAAGAAAGATAGTCCATAACACAGTACATGATCTAGTTTCATACATGATGCTGAGAGAGGTATCATAGATTGCTCTCATGTTGCTCCTCAAAGTGCCAGAGACATGGAACGACTTTCAACTATTCATATTCATAAAAAAATCTAATCAGGGGGAGCATCTACCCGGACCCTAGAAGAAGTGAGAGACACCCCCTAAGAGGTGAGGTCGCACCCCAAAATAGACACGTTACCGCCTGGTCTATATGTCCGTGAGCTGATGATGGAGCACTTCATGTGTACACTAGAGTAATTCAAGGATGCAATCTACGCCTATTACGAAAGGCCTCCAAATTGGAAATCATCTGGTCCCTCGGGCCGTACTTTTCGATAAACGTTTGACGATGGTGGACAGCTTCTTATAAAAGGCGCGAGGTCGGTAGCTTGAGCTTAAATAGGTGGTGACTTCACTGCCTCTAGGGGGTCCGGGGGTGCCCCCCCGGGAAGATTTGTTTTAACATTTTAAAGTAAAATGCTTCAATCTTGCTCACTTTGAGCGCCCAATTACTAGAGACTGATCTAGGGGGTACAACTCTAAAACACCCATGTGAAAAAGATCGGTTTGCATTTTAATAATCAAATAAGTATGTGAACATAACCAATAACCTACCATAGCCAATAACAAATAAATGTAGGCTAACTTATTTTATTTTTGTCGTTCATTTATATCTTCTTTTACCAGTTAACATTTAGTTATGCATATTTTTAAATCTCTCCAGTTTTAAACAATATGTTTTGTTACTGTATATATAGTATACAACAGGCAATACTGTTTTTATTTATCCTAATAATTATAAAGGTGTGCCTTGGAAATATTTGTTTACATCAATTGTGATCAAAACGTTTGAGACCCACTGAGACAACTTAGACTAAAGTGAACTATCTAAACCCTCAGAGTCCTTTATCTCACTGAGCCTCTCAGTCTGACAAGACAGAACTCTCCCTCCACATTATTGTCGAAACAGCTTCTTATATCCGTTAGCGCAGCAGAAGCTAACAACAATCCCTGCCGGTACCGGTGCACCCCCTCTCTCTGTCTATCTATCTATATATCTCTCTCTCTTTCACGCTGGCTGTGAGCTGCGGGCGCCTGATAAGCCAACATCCCCCACTTCCATCACTTACAGCGCCCATCGTACAGGGCAAATGGAAAATGTAACCAGGGTGAAAAGGGTGTTATCTTTACTTAATTATGAATGTTGTTACATCAAGGCTGAAAATTCCATTGATTTTTTGGTATTATATTTGTATTTAATCTTGTGGAAGTGCATATCCCCTGTCCTCCACCAGGGGGTGATGCAGCACCCTCAGCACCCCTACTTCCCACGGCCCTGCACGGGACGAGCGGGATCTTTGATGTCAAACACTGATGTTTAATCCAAGTATCGGCCGGAGAAATTCACATCACAAGTCACAGCAGCCAGAGACTCTGACTGCACGGTTGGTTTGCCACGTCAAATCTGATCAGCCTATCTGTCGATAGACCTTTTAACTAGTTTACAGAGAGTTAATCCACATATTGGGGGATGGTGCGTAAACACTGGGAACACTGGAGACATCCCCGACATCTGGAAATACTCAATCACCTGTCTGTGGGGCTTAGAAAGCCAGCGTTCTCACAGTCATAAAACCCTCTATGACCGATAGTAAAACTGATCACAAAAAAAAATCACATGGCTGCATTAGCACATTCCTTACGGGAGATAACAGACTCAGGGTTGGTCGTAAACGTCAACAGCCAGAAAGGTTAAATATCTAGAAGTAAAGACAGAAATATTCTTTGACACTTTTTAAATATCTTTTTTTTTTAAATATGTTATATTTTTCATTAGTTTGACCAAAAATTATTTGATTTAATTGTATTTAAAATAACATTTCCAAAGAAATAAATCCTATGAATCTGCCTGTTCAGTTTCTGTTTGAATGTGAAGGGTTAAATGAAACAAGCTCGCCTGGCCCTCTCTGCGAGTTGCGGCCCGTCCACACAGCGGCGTGCGTTTAAGCTTGGCGGTGAGCGTGTCTGAAGCTTGGGGAGTTCTCGCGAGCAACGCGACCAACAACCAATTACATGAATCTCCCGCCCCCGACATACATACGAAGTAAACTGGATGTTAACTCCCCAAACAGGCGAAAACCTACCAGTTTCACCCACTATCTCTGCCACCTCCCTCCATGCCTGGCTCCTCCGGTTTGTATACAGGTAGGTGAACAGGGACT